ATGGTTAACAGGGTGCAATATAAAAGTGTGGTAGGAGACCGGGAGGGAGGAGAGACAAGCGCGCTGGTGGACAAATCCCCCCCTCCTCCCCCGGACCCGCACCCGTCTCCTCTCCCTCTTCGGAAGCTGGAGCGGCGCCCCCTCCGCCCACGCAGTGGCCCAAGCCCCGCTCTGAGAGCCCCCAGCCGGCCACGCGGCAGCCCAGGAGCCCGTCCCTTCCCGCTCGACCACACTGCCGCACAACCGAGGTACACGGGGCGTGTTTCTTGAAAACAAACTATCATAATTTTTAAATTTCCTTGTTAATTTTAGTAAGTTTTCTTAAAGAAGAACATGACTGTATCATTTCCCCCCATTTTAAAAAAAGCAGCTTTACTGAGAGCTTATTCACCTTTTTGAAGTATACATACAGTTCCCTGGTTTTTAGTATATCCACGGGGCTGTGCAGAGACTGACATCATTTAATTTTAGAACATTTTCCTCACCTGCCCAAAAGCCCAGGACCCATGATCAAATGCTGTTCCTTCCCTTCAGCATAGCCAGCCCTGGGCAGCCACAAATGTACCTCTATCTCTATGGATTTACCTACGCTGGACATTCTTTATAAATGGAATTATCCAGTAGGTAACCTTTTTGTGACTGACTTCTTTCCCTTAGCATGATTGTTACAGTTTCATCTATGTTGCAGCATATAACAGCACTTCACTGCTTCTTATGGCTGAATAAGAATCCATTGCATGGAGGGGGCACATTTTATTTATCCATTTACCAGTTGATGGACACTCAGGTTGTTTTCACTTTCTGGCTATTATGAGTAATGCTGCTGTGAACATTTATGTACAAGTTTTTGTGTGGACATAGGTTTTCACTTTTCTTGGGCATATACCTAGGAGTGGCATATACCTAGCTGGTCCCATGGTAACTCTGTTTAAGGTTTTGAGAAACTGCCTGACTGTTTTCTAAAGTGGCTACACTATTTTACCGGCTCATTTGTTTTTAAAAGTTATGACCACTCACAGGAGAAATGAAACACTGTGTCAAGCATTGTGCTGTGAACTGGGAACACATTGTTGAGAAAAACAGACAAGGTCCCTGCCTTTGTGGAGCTTACAGTTCTGTAGAGGAGACAGACATTCAACAAGCAATCGACCAAATAAAGGTAAAATTAAAATATGTTTTTAAACAAAAGGGGCCAAAATTAAAGTAACAAAATGATTAAGTGATATAAAATGAATGCCAACTAAGACACGATTAAAGGGTTAAATTAAAGGGAAAAGCATAGCCCTGGCCGGTGTGGCTCAGCGGTTAGAGCACCAGCTCGCCCAGGGAAAGGTCTCGGATTCGATTCCCAGTCGAGGGTCAAGGGCACGAACCTGGATTGCAGGTTCCATCCCTGCCCCAGGGGGTGCTTGCAGGAGGCAACCAACCAATATGTCTCTCTCACATGCATGTTTCTCTCTCTCTCCCCCTCCCTCCCCTCCACTCTCTCTAAAAAAAAAAAAAATCAAAGGAAAAAATATTCTTGAGTGAGGATTAACTGAAAAAAAAGAAAAAAGAAAAATATATACAGCCCAAGTTTCTCATAGCCTATAAACACCCAGAGTCTGAAATCCCTGCCTTCTGGAATTCACACTCTACCTCCTGGCGGCTGCTACTTGGGGCAGAGCTCTGGTCCCCTCTGCACTTGGTATTCTTGCCTGTAAAGCGAGGATGATCGTGCCTACCTCAGAGTAACTGTGACTGTTAGAAACCCTGCAGATAGAGCGCCTAGCACATGGCAGCAGAGGAAATGATTACTGTTATCGTTTTTCCTAGGAAGAGCCGTAGATCCACTAAAAACGTGGTTCAAAAAAATGTGAAGAGGAAGGTCGGCTAATGGTGGGAGGCCCAGAGCTCAGTTCTTGGTTCACTTCTCTACCAGATGCCAGGATGGTCTTCTGGCTTTAAATACTGTCCTTGTCCCTGTGCCTCCCAAATGAGTATCTCAGGTCAGATCCCCAAACTGTGTACTCACACGGAC